AAAAAAAAAAAAAAAAAAAAAAGGTAATACGCTATGACCAGGAGGACAAGAAGGGGGTTCTCCATGGACCAGAAATCTCAAGGAGTCCCGGGGACATTGGGGGACTGTTGCTCTGGCTGGAGGGAAGAAACCACAGCCTTGGAGCATGGAGGTGAAACCTGCTGGCAGATGATGGTTTCTCCCAGAGGAGCCGTTCACAGAGGCGGCTGCTCCCAGGAGCTGTGGGGCCTGGGACAACGGCAGGGGAGCTATGGGGTCAGCCCTGGCCATGCTCAGCAGTAGGGAGTGAGTAAAGAGACCCCACTGCCCAATGACACCTGGGAGGAGCGGTGAGTCCCCTGTCCCCAGAGCCAGCACAATGCTCCCAGCGGCTGCCTGCTGGGCCCAGCTCGAGCTCTCGGGCGGCTGACCGCTTGCTGACGGACAAGCCCTGAACCTCCCATATGAAGCGGAACACGGGGTTGGAATCGCCAACCCCAGAGAAACACTTAACCCCACAAACAAAAGAATAGGGGTGCGTGAGGCAGGGCCTACCTTGCAGCTGTCCACTGGGGTGGGGTCCCCATCCTCCTGGGCCCAGGCTACTCTGCATTTCCCAGGCCCCCTTGCAAGGGGGTGGCCAGGTGGCAGGCTCCTCTCCTGGGCGTGGGCTGACGTGCCACTCTCCTGTGCCTCTCCACACACCCCCTGCCTGCCATGGGCCCTGACGGGGGCAGCTAGAGTGACTCAGGAAGCCTCACATTGAGGAGGTGGGGTCACCGTCAGACTGGCCCCGTGACTGCAGGAGTTGAGGCCACTGTCAACAACCCTTGCCATATCCTCAGAAGAACCACGTCTCTGTGTTTAGGCTGTTACACCAGGGTCTAATCGTTAACTTTACATTCACGGCCAATTAACAAGGTCCCAACTTTTACTCCCCTATACAGAACGTTCCATCCGCTTCCTTCCCTGGCCTGGCGGGTGTGGGTACTGCTGTTCGCCATTGGCTCTAGGCTGGCAGGGTGACTTTCCTGGCCCACGGAAATGCAAAGTGGGGCTGAGGCTAAAGTACCAGCAAGGCCCGGCCTTGTCTCTGCGGCCAGGGACCCTCCCCGATGAGACTGGCCGTGGGGAAGCGAAGGGCGCATGCCGGGGCACACATACACCACCAAATACACAAAAAAAAAAGCATTGAAAAAATCAACAGATACACAAAAGACAATTTAAATATAAAAACCGAGAGAAAAGAGAAATTCATAAAACAACCCAAAAAAACAAAACAAAACATAGACATAAAAACCAAAAAAAAAAAGTAAAAATAAAACAAAATAGAGAGAGGAGAGAGAGAAATGAACTAGAAGATGACTTTTAACCTTTCTTCATTAAGTTTTTTATATAGTTATTAATGTTACAGAATATATTATGTCTAATGGAGGCAAAAATAAACAAACCACGATCATGTGAAAAAGAAAAATAACTTAAAGAGATACTTTCCAAGCAACGAAGTGTACTCGGAGAAACAGAAAAGTCGGGCCTGAAATAGAAACACGATCTTGGCGAGGACCGATGGAATCTGGGCAAGTGAAGTCACTGAGCAGCAGATGGGACAGGACACGGAGCCTCCCACAGAAGCGGGCAAATGGAGAGAAAAGTTACGACGTGAAGGAGAACTAAGCAACGGGAAGATAGCCATAGTTTCACAAGTCGTCTTAAATGCAATCCCAACGGAAAAAAAGGGGAAGAATTAAAGGAACTAAAAAGAAAACTACATGGGCAGAAGAGCATGTGACAAGGTTTTAGAAAAGCTCCCATGGGGGGAAAAACATAGTAAGAGGAAGGAAGGGAGGGAAAAGGAAAGGAAGGAAGGAAAGAAAGAAGAGGGAAAAGGGTGACATCACACACTGGCAACTTGGGGTCTGAAAACAGTGGGGGCACCAGCACAGTCCACAGGGAAGATTATCTGAGCCTGTGATTCTATGCCGGGCCTAACAGCCGCTTGGTGAGAAGGAAAAGCAAACACCGGTTTTGGTCAGCCAAGTGTTCGGCGTTTATTTCCCACAAGTACCCTCTGAAATAGTTACTAGGTTACGTACTCCAGCAAAATGAAAAATAAATCCAAGAGGGATGCAGAAGGTACAAGAGCTGGGGACACTGTTTTCATCAGGGTACATGGAAAATGCTCCTGACGCCAGGAGGAGGACCCAGGTGATCTCAGCAGTTTGGGGAAGGAGGAGGGCACAGAACCGCAAATGGCTGTGTCTCGGGGATAGTGAACAACTGATTAGCTCTAGACAGGTAGGAAGAGGGAAGTTCAAGTGCACATGTTCCTAATTTAAAGTAACCACCAGATGAACAGAAATAGGATGTCAACCCGCAGACCTGTCCAAGGAAAAGAATGGAACAAAGACAACGTGCTGCGTCCAACAACAGCAGGAAGCAGGGGTGGGTGGGAACGGACTGGGCAAGTGAGACCCAGCGCTGAGTCACAGGCGGAAGATCCAGGCCTCTGGCTGTCACAGGACCTGCTAACGAGTTCAAGACGTGCATTCAGAGAGGAAGACACTTAGCTAGATAAAAACCCAGATAGGCTGGGCGCGGTGGCTCACGCCTGTAGTCCTAGCACTCTGGGAGGCCGAGGCAGGAGGATCACTTGAGGCCAGGAGTTTGAGGCTACAGTGAGCTAGGACTGTGCCAGAAATTCATAGGTCTTATAAGAAGGGAACATCAAGTCCTTCCTCCCTCTCTTCTAACTACATCGAGCCACTTAAAAATTAAGAGCAAGAAGACAGCGTTCACAAAAGCGTCCCTCTTCGTTCAAGTCTTAAGGAATCATTCTTAATAATCGCTGGAAAAGCAGGAATCACAACGAAATTTGAAAACTATAATGTGAAGAAACGGGGAATTATTATCATCAAATTGGCGCAGATAATGCCAACGGAAAGTATGAATGTCATAGAACTCAGTATTACGTGTCTATGAAAAGAGATTGAAAGGAATAACTTGGCTTCACTGGAGATCTAGATAAAAAGCAAAGGAATCTCTATGGAACAGTATGGAGATTCTACAACGATAATAAATGATAAAAATGACTACCCATATCAATACTCAGAGCAATCCACTGGGCTTCAACAAAGAAAGAGAAGTCTTTATGTCAGAAGCCTACTGCACTGAGTGTTATAGCAGACCCAAATTCCCAATGGCAAAATCGAATCACCCAGGTGCTCATCGATCCGCGCCAGTCACGCCATTATAAAGCTGGTATAATGATACACCGTGGGTATACTCAGCATAAAAAAAAGGAATGAATATAATAACATTATAAGCAAATATATGAAGAGAACTAGAAACAATATCACTCTAATGAGAGTAATCTAAAATCAAAGAATAGGAACAAAACACCCCCCTTACAGCGCGCCCCCTCCCGCAACTCCCCCACCTCGGCGCGCGCTCGCGGCGACAACCCCTACAACAGGTAACAGGAACACTTT